CAGAGCCCGACACAGGGCTCATACTCCTGAACTGCGAGATCATGACCTGAGCCAAAGTTGGATGCTTAACTGACTGAGCCACCCAGGCACCCTAGAATGCTTTTTTTAAGGGCGGAAATTATGCCAGCCTTGTTGGATGAATTATTTGAGTGCTTCCCATTTCACCCCAAAATGTATGGCATTGTAGGCTAGCTGTATAAATAATACATTCTGAGAATTTACCCCATGGGATAAAGTTAGACAAATTTAAAAGGCGCATGTATTCTGTAGCTGCCATGATGTCCATGAGTCAAGACCTGGTTAAATACATGATGGAAGACTCATGCAATGGAGGACCCTGATATAATAAAAAGGACTACATTTTCTAACCTGAAGGATGTATGGCTAACACGTATAGCTAAGTCAACAGTAAGCTTCCGAATGTGCATTGTATGATTCCATTTTCACAAAATAACAACTACTAGCACTGCTACTACTAGTCCAGGCATACATACACAATATCAGAGCCCTGCAAAAGTAAACTCAACTAAACAAGAGATTATCCACCAAGTTATTAACATTTTTTTGTTAGCCCAGGTAATGTGGGTATGTCTGGTTACATCCTATTTTGTGCATGTAAGTGAATCTTGGTACACAGAAAATATATTGTTTCATAATCAGGAAAAAACCAATAAAGATATTTTCATTAGAAAAAATTAGAAATAAAAGTTAATGACAGCATATGCAGTGAAAAGGCAACTGGTTTTTAAGCCCGGAACTCTTTCTCCTCCCCTTCCATTTTCCCTCCCTCCGCCCCCACTCCTGCCTTCCCCCCTACTCCTGCCTCCCCCCCTCTTATGTATTGCATATACTTAACACAAACCTTTGAAATGGTTCATATGTACCTTTTCTTTCCAAATTTAAGACTCTCAGGCTTAGACAAAAAAGTCAATCTGCCCAGTGGGGCTTAACTGCTCTTTGTATTACAGTTGCATCTTATGGGATCCTGTGAATGTCTTATTTAGGAAAGAAGAGTAGATCCCTCTGCTATAATCCTGGTTACAGGGGAAATTGAAAGTGCTTAAAGAACCATACCGGTTTAATGGGCAATAGTTAATAGGTTATCAGGCACTTCTAATCAGTACGAGACCACTGTGGCAAATTAATCAGGAAAGCTGCTACTTCGGCAAAGTAGCAAATTTATATGTTGAGTGAATTGTCTTAGTGTTTTAACTGTGGTGTAAATCATCTTCCTGTCTTTCTGAATTTGACATGGGATCTAACAGCCACCTAGCCTTTTGTTTCCCATCAAAAATTATGCATGGGGCTGTTACTTTAAGTTACCCTGTTTAACAAGTATCACAGACTTATAATTCCCAGACCCATTCACTATTGTCTATAACACTATCAAACAGTTAAAAATATCAACAACATCAACGGTCAAGCCCATAATGCAAATTATAAATCTGGGCAACTGATTTCCCATCTTAATATAACTTAATAGGTGAGAATTTAAAAGTTAGGGATTCAGGAAATACTAATGACAGCCTATCCTGTTCCTGATATAAATTCAGAGCTTTGGAGTATTGGCACTGTTTTGGCTGGATTGTGCCATTTCATGCTTAGAGATACTTTTACATTGTATATGGCTACTTGACTATTCAGAATCTCCATTTTTTTTTAATGGTTTTTGTTCTGTTGCCAAAAACACTTAATTAGACTAAACAGTGATTACTTCCTGGTTCCAAATGTGAACATGAACACGGATCCTATACATAAGGAACTCCTGAGGAGGCATACTGTGTCTTGAGGCTGAGCAACCGAGAACACTATATACCATAGACAGCCCCCGACAAATCAGAATCAGAAGTGAAGGGGTCCCAGAACTTGGCTCATTAGCCTGCCCTCCTGTATCTGAAATGGTCAGTGAATGCACAGATAGACTCCTTGCGTTCTAAATCAAAGGCTGGTCCACACGTATACGTATCTCAGACTTTTGCACCTATGCCTCTGGCTTGATTTCTCTAGGTCCATCTGTTAGCTAAAAGGAGTCCTGCCAACTCATGCACTTAGTTTGAGCTGTTTCTTTGTTATGTTCCCTATTCCATTAACTAAGTTAAAAGGCTTTTTTTTTAGCTGTCACTAGGAATAATAATAATAAAAGTTAAAGTCTGTGACGCTTTATATTGGTGTAGTAATATCATAATACAATATGCTCCACACATGTCTACTTGAAGAAAACGGCATTCTTCTGCAACACTACTGTTTGTGTTCTGGTTTCATTTAGCAGATGTTTACTGAATGGCTCATGGGTTGCAAAAGCCAGGCAAGCGGGCCTTATACAGTGCCTGGCATCAAGGGCCTTTTAGGAATGTATTTTTTCCAGGTTTTTAAATTACTATTTAAAAAACCCAAATGAGCAATATACAAAAAAGTCAATCATAATTTTGAGTTTTGCTTCTCCCTAATAACAAATTAAATATAAAAATGCTTAAAATCTGCAACTTAAAAAAGGGGATATTAACATACAAGTGCAAGGAGAAGAGCAAGCCTAGAGAAGAATGGATATTATCAAATGGGCTGGGACTCGCTCTACATAGAGGTCAAATCACAGAGTTTTGCTCGTGATGGGTTAATCTTTCATTTTCAGAATAAATGGGGGCTTCTGGGTGGCTCAGTCAGTTAAACGTTCCACTCTTGATTTTGGCTCCAGTCATGACTTCATGGTTCATGAGTTTGAGCCCCATGTCGGGCTCTGTACACTGGCAGTGTGGAGCCTGCTTTGGATTCTCTCTCTGCCCCTACCCACTCGTGTGCATGTGTGTGCTCTGTCTCTCTCAAAATAAAAATAAACAAACTTAAAAAAAAAAGAATAAATATGACTCCACATTACTTAATGATTAGCATGATGAATCATTCTTAACAATCAACTGCCATCCTTCATCTGCCCTCATTAAAAAAAAAAAAAGTCACAGGAAACCTGCAAATAAACCCTCTGATGGATTTGATGCCACATGTCATCATTATTTATCTCTTAACTCCTGACAAGCTTGTACACATCACAGACATCCAACAAAATCTGAATTGTACTAACAGCAGGGAAAATGGAATGGATCTTACCTTACATGAATCTTCTTTAATGAGAACCACGAACATGTGTCGAGCTCTTCAGAGCCCTCTGCCTTATGTAGAAGAATCAAAAATAATAAATATATAGCCCAAATAAGTAATAAGCCTCAAAATCAAGACACAGAAATGTAATACCCCACCCATTTTCTGGAGCTCCATATTCCCAGAATACTTGGGAGACTGGCAGATGGTTCTCCGTCCCCACAGTGCCCAGCATTTGAAGGATGGGCCCTGTGGGAGTCGTGGCAGTGCAACTTGGTTACGAGGTGGACTCACTAATACACACTTCAAAAAGCGATGTGCAGTAAAGGATCAACTAGGTGCTGATTATGAAGTGTGTACATGTGGGATGGCTGGGTAGGGGGACCAGACGCCTCTGTACTTAGCGAAATGGAGCATTTTAGTCACGAAACAGATTTAAAATCTGTACGAGCTAGAGTACAAGTAAGCCAAAACAGTCGGACGCGTTGCATACTTTAAGCTAATTAAATACCGCCCCCCCCCCCCTTTTTAAAGGGGGCTGCACTGGGCAGCAAGACTGCATTAAGAGAGAAACCTTTTACGAAAATAGTATCACTTATCTTTTTTTTTTTTTTTTTCCTGTTGATCGGCTGTGTTCTGACAATGAATTTAGAAAATGTAAAGCAAAGAGCTCCCGAGGAGAAACATCTTGAAGAGTGGCCCTGGGGTTGGCCCCAGGACGTGATCGCCAGGGGGTTCGCCCTTTGCACCTACAGCGTGAACTGGACCAAAGGCGATGGCTTTGAGAATGTCCAGAACCACAGGATCCTATTATCCACCACAAAGAACCACCTAAGTACTTACACGCTTTAGTTAAAAAAAAAAAAAAAAAAAAAAGAAAGAAAGAAAAAGAAAAGAGAAATCCGAAGGAAATTTAGCAGGCAGAGGACACGAAGGAGGTTAGTAAACAGACCTCTGTCCCCGGAGTCTGACACCAACCCAAGCCTGGCGGGCCCCAGACATCCAGCGGCAGAGAGCGCGCAGGTACAGCAACAAACCTGGTCCTCAACGAGATGTTTCTGTGAATGAATGGACCTTTCTGCTACTCGGAGTCGGGCACAGCACACACCGCTCTCCCAAATCATTTAGAATTCCATTTGCCCATACGCCACGCACCTCGACAGGGACACACAGGATTCCAGCATGTCACAGACCCGGGAAAAGGGGAGAGTGGCTGGCGCGGCTTTCTACTAGGTTTTTCGGGAACTCGGAAGCCGCCGCTGGGGAACGCAAGTGCTCAGCACCAGGTAAAACTTCCCCGGATTTGAAGCCACCCAAGATGGGTGGAAGGACTCCCGAGAGCACAGTAAGATGCAGAGCGGGCAGCGTGCGCGTGGCGAAATGGACGGATGACCCTGGAAATCCAGAGAGGCGCGGAACAACCAGAAATGACCGCACGCACCACAAAGGCGAAAGCAAACAATGCACCTACAAACACGTTCTGCACAGTGTAGAACTGTCTACACTTGCACAGAGTCAGTCTTTGCAGCAGCGCACGCGAGGGCGGGTCCTCCTGCTCTCTGGGTCCGGGACAGAAGCAGGTCCTCCCGGGGCCATGGGCATTACGTCGCCCAGCGGGGTCACCCCGAGAATCTGGAAAGCCAACCTGCGGAGGCTGCTGGGGGCCCTAAAAGACACGGCTAGCCGCAAAGTGGGATAGATCTGGGGTGTCCAGAGAAGGAGCCAAACCTCGGGCAGCCGGGGAGAGTCTGCGAGGCGGCTCCGGAGGGACTGGAAGCTCCGCAACTCGGGGCCGCCCCAGGCGAGGAGTCGGGGCGCTCCTCGCCCAGGGCGAGCGCTCGGCACCCCGCGCGTCTCGCGCTCCCCGCTCTGCCTCCGCGCGCGGGCGGCGTCGGGAGCCTCTCACTGACCTGCGGGTGCGGACGCCCCGACCTCTCCGGCCGCGCTCCGGCGCCCCGGGTGGGACCAGGGCCGCGCGCCAAGCTCCTCTCCGGCCCCCGGGTCTCTGCGATCCGCGCCCGCGAAGCCGTCCGCGGGAACGTCGCGCGCAGCGTGCGGCGAGCTGCCGGAGCGCACGGGCGGGCGGCGCGCGCAGCTGGAGTGAAACCCCGGCCGCCCAGTCGGCGGCACCGCGGGTCTCCCTCCGCCCCTGCGGTCCGCGCAACCAATGGCTGCGAGCGGGGCCCACTCCCCGCCGCCCCCCAGCCGCGGCTCTGGCTGGCGCTTGGCTCCAGGACAGCAGCCCCGCTCCCGCGAGGGAGGAGCTTGAGCCCGCGCTGGAAAATCCTGGAGGACGAGGAGGCGTTCGCGCAGGGAGCCCCATCTGGGGAAGGCAGGTGTGGTGCCCTTAACTTCTGTGTGTGTGGGGGGGGGGTACGTGGGGGAGTGCAGTTTCTTTGGGGGGGGCTCAGGGACTTCTCAGCAGGCGAAAGCATCTACTTTCTGCCAAGTTTCTTAACCCTCTTAAATATCATTATGAGTCCCGCGCAGCCCCCGCTCCCAACCACGAGCCCCGGTCGGGGTCGGTCACAGCCAGCCCAGCTCTGAGCTGCGGGAGGGCATCGCCCCAGCCTGTGTTGGGCTTCGCCCTACGCGTCTCTCCTTCGGCGCCTTTCCCTTCTTCCCCCTCTGAATCCTCTGCCAAACCACCGGATGAAATGAATAGGATTGCAGCCTCCATCACTGCCGGGAAACCGGCGACCACAAAAGCCCCTACCGGGTAACTGGCTTAGAGAGAGTCATAGACCCTAAAAGAACTCTGGGCAGGGAGCCTTTCACCGACAAGACCAACTTCAGTTACCAATCAGCCTCGTGATCTCCACTTAAAGACTCTGGACTCCCGTTTGACTACCGTGAAACTGTTACTTCGATCATTTAAGATGTCTGAGGTCTCTTCTGCTCTGACGTTCAACAGTCCAGCTGGCTCTGACCCATTTGCTCGGTGAAGGGCTGAGCCCCTGTGGCATGTTGGTATGGCTTCTCAGCCTCCAGCCCCTGCCCCTCCTGTCTGCTGCTCTCACCCTGAGCCGGGTCCACCTGCGGCTAGGAAAATGAATCGTGCAAATCAATAGAGAAGGATGATGGGCTAGTCTTGGTGACCATTTAAACGTGCACAGCCACTCCTACTTACCAGGGCCCTTCTAGGATGAGGTTGGCTGTGCCCATGTTCAGTGGTTCTTTGGGTAGAGACGGACTCTTGAGGCTCCCTTGGTAAGTGGGCAAAGGCTCGATGGCTCCCTCTTCCTTCTCCAGGGGAATTGTGAGTTTGTGTTCATCATCTCTGTGTGAATCTTTTGTATCATGTAAAATGCAGCGCAGTGCAATGAGCTGAATGGAAAAGAGATCCGGAGACCTGCTTTTCTCCCAACACACTTCCCTTTGCATTCTATTTTTTTTTTAATTTTTAAAAATGTTTTATTTATTTCTGAGAGAGAGAGAGAGAGAGAGAGAGAGAGAGCCAGCGTGAGCTGGGGAGGGTCAGAGAGAGAGGGAGACACAGAATCAGAAACAGGCTCCAGGCTCTGAGCTGTCTGCACAGAGTCCAACGGCGGGCTCGAACCCACGAACGGTGAGATCATGATCTGAGTTGAAGTCCCACGCTTAACCTGAGCCACCCAGGCGCAGCCCCCTTTGCATTCTAAATTTGACCCATTCACCTGCCACTCCTATGAGTTTTGTTACATCCATCTATTCTTTAGCGGTTCACCTTAGATCTTTACTTAGCCTCATCATAAGTAGTAATATCCAAGAAATCTTTGGTTTTTGTATACAGATTGTGTTTCAATACGAAAGAAGCAAGTAATAAATACGTAATCTGTAAGGCTTGTCTTGACATTTCCTGAACTTAATGGCTTACGGCTGCTGAAGCAAATGACCACAAACTATGAAGAAAAAAAAGCTAATATGAGAGGTAAAATTTCTTTTGTCTTTATTCCTTTTTTAATTTTATATATAAAATATCTCAAAAATGTTTATTGTCAGATTTATTTACATACTGGGAGTTCGCAGGCAGTCTGGAGACACAGTCCTAGATTTTAGTGAGAAGGGTCATCCCACCTGCCCCTCTGATCTGATCCTTTTCTGTCTTACGCAGGGATGGATGGATTGGTTTTGTTTTTGTTGCTGTTGTTGAATTTGGAATCGGACAGAGAATCATTAAATTCTGATGCTGTCACTTATTATCTGTGTGATTAAGCCAATCACTTAACCTCTCTGAGTCTTCATTTTCCTTATGTATAAAATAGAAATAATAGTTCCCACTCTTATAGGTTGCTGTGAAGCTTAAACACACACACACACACACACACACACACACACAGTTCCTAGCTGTTGTCTTGTATGTAATAAGTGCATAAAACTCTGCCTCTGTCTTTTCCTTCTGAATGCTGTCATCAAAGCAACGTTCAGAATTACTTTGTCCAGTCTCAAATTTCCTTCTAGGAAGGCTTTGTGTTCTGTTTCTAATACTCTCTAGACTAATTCTCTGCCCCCTTTTTTGATTCCTTCATCTCTGCCCCCTTTTGATGTTCCCTCCCCCAACTCCATCCTTTCTCTCATGCCTTAATCTCTCTTCTTTCAAGAGGTTCTCACATTCCACAATCTCACAGCTCTTTGCCCTGTAGAGGAACTGAGGTAACTCTGAGAAGAGGGTAGGTCATAAAAATTCTTACTTCTTTTGCATTTTCATGTTGTGTCCATAAGTCCTTTGTTTTTTTGTTTGTGGGTTTGTTAAATCATGGTCTTACCCAAAACATGGAGAAATTTATGTTATCTAAAGCTATGGAGAATTCCTGGACCACAAGTACTATTAAATTCAACAGACATTTTTAGAGCATCTGCTATACGTCAAGCAGTGCCCCAGGCACTGGGCAGATAAAAATAAAGAAGACAGTCTCTGCCTTAAAATGCTTATGGTCCAATCAGGCAGACAGACATATAAATACCTACACTGAATCTGAGTGTGCTGTGTGGGGCTTCAAGCCAATAGTACACGCGAAAGAATTTCCATTACTTTTTCAGTTATGAGGTTCTCTTGGACCAGCCAATCAAAATGTCCACCCTACCCACAGTCCTCTGCTGAGTGAGGAGCCATGTTCGGCCTCCTGAGCAGATGAGATGGGCTTAACTGGTGAAGCCAAAAAAGCCATATACACATTCTCATTTTTTTTCATCTCCACCCCAACCCCCAATGGAGCTACGGTAAGAGTGTGTGACCTAGACTTGGCCCATCAAATGTACCTTCCTTAGAGATAGAATTGGAAACTGGTCCTACAAGGGAGCTGAGATAAGAGCGCTTTGTGGCAGTGATTGCAACAACATCCAGTTCCCAGGGCCAGCAGGGGAAGGGGGACAAGCAGTGACATTGGGTCTCCAGTGCTTAGGTGTCAGTTACACGTTGTGGCTCCTACTGTCTGGTGATGGCAGTAGTGTTCCCACATGTCTGATCTGTAGGTCTGAGTGGTTGGGATTCTGGGTCCTCAGCCTCCCTGTTTCTGTTCATCTGTTCATTCTCTGAGCATCTCTCTGATCCGTATCTTTTCATTAAATTCCTTTTTTGCTTCAACCAGCCAACTTGATTCTTAGCTACTAAGAATACTTTGGCTGAAGCTTGGTATAAAGGCTCCACCTCAATAAGAAGAATGCTAATTATCTGGTTCAGGTAACTTCCCCTGCTAGGACATTCAAACTGGAAATATTAGATTGGTCAACTGGAATCCAGAGCAGAAGCTAACAACACAGCCCTTGGACTATGAAACAGCAAGGACCGTGTGTAGGCTGAAATTATGAGTAAGCAGAAGTTATGAATAAGCAAAAGTAATGAGTTAGCAGAAATCTACATACATGCAGAGGAGAGGAAGAGGTGGTTGGCTCAGAGCAGCAAGGAAACAGAAGCCAACGGGAACTGAGTCCCCATGATGGTGAGGGAATAGATGAACCCCTGCTCTCAAGGGGACTCCAGGTTAACCCAGTCCTTGGATTTGCCTTGGATCCTGAACTATTTTCCAATTTCCAAACTACATTTTTATTTCTGTGAAGCCAACTAACCCTGGCTATTTCTGGGATCCTTCAAAATTCCAGTTGCTCTTATTGTGATATGTATCCTTATAGTAACGCCCTTCTTACTTGAAGTAACCAGGATAAGACTCTGTTCTCTATGATCAAAGGGTTCCAACGATTGCAGGCATGATACGGCTAGGAACCAGGAAACAATAGTCAAATAGTATATCTCAGAAGTCACTGACCTTCCTCTCCAAAAATATACTTTCTTTTTTCCTGTTTTACTTGAAATTTCCAGCAGGAGAACCTTTCTCTAGGCTTAAAATTAATGGTTTATTAGAAGCCCCTGTTTAAAATGTACTGTTGTTTCTTGTGGGAGTGAAAAGCCAGAGGTATTTCTCTCTATATTAGCCATTAGCATCTGAGCAGATCGTATGAGTTCATTCTTAAATTTGAACTCTCAGGGGTCTGAGATTTAGGGGTGAAGCTAGGTGTAGAGCAGACAGATTGGGCACAGGGAGGGAAGGGTGGAGAGTAGATAATAGAAAATGGCAGTGAGAGGTCCCTGGAACATTCTGAGAGGTCCCTGGAACATTCTGAAGGACTGTCCTATGGAATATTCCCAAAAGGAAAGATCTTGGTGGCAGCCAACGTGAAGAGACGGTGGGGCCAAATTGGCAGCCATGCAACAAGATGGACACTAACACCAAACATCCCACTTCATAGTCAGCCTTCTGTCAGTTCCACAGTATGACCTTGCATAGTTTTTGTTACCCTTCAGCTCTTATAGAAGATGGGGCAGGGCTGAAGTGGCAAAAGAAGATGGTCATCGCATATACCTACTTGGAGATAATGCTCGGAAACTACACCAAGATTAATTACGCCTTAGAGTTACTTGCATGAATCTGTGACCTTGTTTTATCTCCTGCAACATACGGTGCCCTTTCATGGCTTGTGAAAAAGGAAATATCTTTATGTCTCACCTAATCAGTGAATGGTACACAGTCTAGAAAGCAAAAAAAAAAAAAAATACTGTTAATAAGACATGACACAGGAAGGAAGGAATTTACACTTGCTGCT